CAAGGACATCTTCGGGAGCGAATTTGTGTTCGTATATGGTGTCCTCTGTGTCGTTGTCAGAAAATAGCAATCTTTCGCGATAAAGTTAAGCGCTCACCGTCCTCGATATATGACGGCTGCTTGAAGGTAGCCACTTGGATTAGGGCAAACCGATACTTGGCAAAGTCCTTGTCTGATGCACCTATTCGTGCCTGCAGACGCTTCTTTGTGTCCGCAAATTTTTCACCCTTGAATCACTCGTCAAAATAAAGCCATGGCCAAGCGACAAAGATACTCACAGATTTTACGACGAATCGGAAAGGTACACCATGCGTACGTGCAACTTCCCTATTGAAGTGGAAGACACTGATGGTCTTGCTAGTTTCGTCCGCTTCAAGTTCGTCTCGAGGTATTTCCTGTTTCACGTTGAAATCGCTGATAGAAAGACACAACCAAAAGTAGCATACATACCTCCGCATACAGTTCAACAGGTTCAGGGATGTTTCCAATCATTTCAGAGCCCGTAAACTCCTTCTGGAACTTCCCATCTTTCGACACCTCAAAGACACGAATCTTACCGGTCCCTCCAGGGCTCAGCGTCACTTGCTTCGCTAGGTGATCAGCAAGATCATGGACCGAGCTCGTCTTCGGCAACAGGAACGGGTATGAAGCCTCTTCCCTATTATGGATCCCCGTCCACATAATCTTGAGGCTTCGCTTTGTCTCCAGCTCCACAATGCTTACATCCAGCTTCTCGTAGAGAATGACAGTCGTCGTTGGATTGATATAACTCGGTACCATGATTTCCTGTATGCTCTGATTGAGAGATCGCTTAAGGACTGATTTGGGTGATCCGTTCGTTGCGTGAGTCGTTGTGAATCGAAGCTTGATCGGATCATGTCTCAAGAACTCGCCAGCCTTCGTCGACATCTGGGCAAGTCATCAGCTACTCAAGCCACTAACACGTAGGGAAGAACACCAACCATGTCGTAGTTGTGCTTCTTGCTGAGGATTAGACTGAACTCTGGGTGATCGTGGTCTGGGTCCTCGAATTTCGGTCGGAAGATGATCATGACGCGGTTCTGGAGGAAGTCGTAAAATTGTATCGGGTTGGAGTACATACCCTGGGCATCGAGGTCGTGGATCCTAAACAAGACTTGAACATAGATTGTTGAGAGTGAGGATTGAATACTCACTCTTTCTCGGAGTGGTCGACCTGGAAACAAATGACATCTCCATCCTGGATCTCACTCTGAGCAAAAGTAAGCTTCTGCTTCATCAGCTCGATCATGCCAGGCTTTATTTCCTACAACCAGTCAAGAGTAAGATCCAAGCCCGAACGGCAATTCTGTTAACGCACCTCAAACAACCTTAGAGGAGTGCCAGGTGCCCACCGCATCCGCTCATTGATCAAAGGGTGCAAATCCTGGACTTTACTATTCCTCGACATATACACCTTACCAATACCAAACAGACTCTGCTTCGCCATGTCAAAGTGCTTGAGGAAAATCATGATGGACCCCGCTGGTGGCTCGGGCTACAACAACCTGTCAATGAACTTCCTGCAGCACAGAACAGCGACATACCTTGCTTGGATCGGGTATTATATCAAGATACAAGCGGAGATCATTCTGCCTTGCTGCCATATTATTGCGAATCACCTCGACAGCTACAGCGAGCATCAGAGATCAATAGCTGTGAAAGGACAAGAACCTACTCAGCGTCGGTTCATTCTCAGGAATATGAGTATCAGGGCGAACAGTCTTGTTTTGACGATTGACCAGAACCCAGAGGCGTATTTTGTTCTCTGGGAGGTTGAAGTGGCTCGCTACACGCGACTTGAAGGTACTGTAGGTTTCTTGCTTCAAAACACGGAAGCTCGGTAGCTCCGAAGGCGGCCAGTTCTTTTCATCAAAGGTAGCAAGATCAAAACCTTCGTGATGAGCGAATGTATCATCAGTGATGACCTTAACTGACGTGAGCAGGAGGACAAGTGAACGACGAGACCATCACAAACCTTGGCTGTGAGGAAAAGATGCTGCTCCTCGCGTTCACGCTTCTTAGCTTCGATCTGTAGTCTCTCGTCCTCAAGTCGACGCTCTTTAATTATAGTCAGCAACACGTGTTATTACGTTACAAAGTGACTCACTGAGATGTGCTGGGGTGTCCTCGTCCTTCCAAGTCGAAAGGATTTCCTCGGTGGCTGATTCGCGAATGTAGACCAACATATACGCATTGGTGAACCTCTTCATGGCTCGTACTTGATTGCGTTGCAGTGGAGGAGTGATGCCATTCAGGGGTTCACCGCCGTAGTTTTCCTCTAATACCTCGCGATCAGTGACTGGGGTGACCTTATCATCATCAAATTTCAGCCATCTCGTCTCCCGATCGGGTTTGATGAGTGCAAAGTAATGTCCGCCATATCGATCCCCTGAATGTACCAACACGCCATGCAACTTATAGTTCCATGACTGCGAACGATCGGCATCCTCATCCAGGAATTCCGCGAGGTCGATTTCAAATGGGAATTCATGGCGATCGTTGATCTACAGGAGATTAATCAATGAGAACCACAGTTTTACTTGTGCTACGAACCTTTGCCATCGCGTCACGCTGTATATCATATTCGAAACGCTTCAGTTGCAGATGGAGCACAGGAGGGAATGATTGGAAGAGGATTCCCTTCTTCGCGTCTTGGAGACCAAACCCTTCAGCTTGATACTTATTCTCACCCTCCATCATCTCAACAGCGACGTAATCCTTGAATGACTCGTACAGGTTCTTCATTCCCTTGACGTTGAGAGAGATGTCTGGATCAAATAACGCATTAGATAGTGTCAGATAGGAGAAAATCGAGATTACCATTGAAGTCCTCAAATACAGATGATTCAAATTCGACGTTCACACATTTGATGTAACTCTTCATCTTTCCAACGAAGAGCTTGGAGATTGCACCTTCGGCTTTCGTACCCTAGATGGGATGAGACACTGCAGGGCATATGATCCGAATTCTAATACCTTCATCTTGGTCTCTAACTTGTCTTGGAGTACGCGGTTAAATTCTTGGACGTCATGTTGTTGATCAGAGTCAAACGACTTCCACCCAAACGATTTCGTCAATTCCGTGGTTCCTGGGGAATTACGTTTTGGAAAGGATCACGGGTTAAATTAACTTGATACGTACCAACAGGCTGATCTGATGTCTGAAGATGGTAAAACACCCGTTGCAAGGCGAGGGGTACGCTTTCGGTAGGGTGTTCGTCTTCTGTTGGTATTTGGTACACAGCCTAGAAGCCACGTTAGCTGAATAATAGATGTCAGCGCCACACTCGCCTTTCGGAAGTAACGCGTGCAGAAAAGAGATTGGAGAAGGGAATTCATGTAACACGTCGCGCCTTGGTTCTTCAAGCCAACGTAGCCAGTCTCCTTCTTGGAGTCATAGCTGAACGGAATAAATAAGAAGGGCTGAGGATCGGCAGGATGAATACGCACTTGACAAAATTGTGCCACAAGACGCCGGTAGGATCCTCGAGTACACGAACATAGACAGTAACATCGGCCGACTCATCCTCGATAGTTGGACGGGAATGGCCTTCTTGAATATTGAAGAGTTTGCGCAGCTCACTGAAGCGGGTGAAACCCCAGTCGCATTCCTCGGCGATAAAGCGATGGTGGGCATCTATGGAATAGTTGTATTTTTGAGCAGGTGAAATGAAATGATAGAACTCACGGCTGACTGTGAATATGGTAGGGTCGTGGGGATTGGAAATGACGAGTGCGAACTGGGCACATGCATGCCAACCCTCTGGGGACTTCTTTGGATCAGCGTAATCAAGATAGACGGAAACGGTGTCATTAGGGGGTGCATTAGAATTTCCGAAGGGAAATAATAGTATGCGCCTGTTGAGAAATGTGAGGGTGAGGGGAAGAGGGCCCTCTAATGAACTGACCATTTGTGACCGCCGCATTCAAAGTCAGCACTTGTGAGCCTCTTTTCTAATTTCTTCCAGTTGTTTATCCGCCAAGTGTAAACCTGAAAATCTTTGACATCATGCCCTAGGTCTGGCATGTGTTTTGATGCAAAAGCTTGGTCTATAATGTTGATGAGATATGAAGAGGTGAGTTGATATAGAGGAAAGAGAGCTTACGATCGCGAACGGAGATGACTTCATCAATGATCTCCATGGAAGGACCACCGTTTACTTTTAATTCCTCAATAAGATCCATGGTATCACTCTTGTTTGGCTGAAATGTGAGTCTGGGGTTTGAAGGTTAGGTATGATGAGACATACGATGCAAGTCTGCAAATGAGCAGCAGTTCAGAGGATGAGATGACTGAATCGTATTGAAATATAAGCTGATGCTACCGCGAAAAGAGGATAATCCGTGACAATGATACTCCAAAGTGACACTAGCGAGTGAAGTGACGAAGGTCGGTGGGAATCGGTCATAGGGAATCGCTCTCGTAAGCAACCCCCGGATATAAAAATTCGACCCCTCCAAGTTTAAACTTGTTCCTTTTTTTTCATCAACGATGTCGACGTACTACAACGTTTGCAACGACTCTCTTGATTCATCATTCTGAGTGATCTCACACGATCCTTAAATTGTCTCGACAGGGTTGACCTCAGTGTCACCACCAGCCTTTCCGCTGTTTCACTGTCGGTAATGAGTCAAAATCGTGTAAAAGCAGGTCGGACGGACTTTTGGACTGTTGCCAGTCTCGTTTTGTGACTGGGAGCTATCATCCGAAACTCTCTGACGATGCCATGATCAGTTTGTATCGACGGCGTTCAGTCGTCGTCGCTCTTGGTCAATGGCGGACATCACCATGCATTGCATACTATTATTATTGTTATTATTATTACATTTACTAGAATGAAATCTTATCGGCCTAGTAGCCCTTGACCCATGCAAGGCTATGCTTATCATACCCGCGGAATCGGACAGTACTTACCATGTGTGTACGGTGCTGCTATGCTCGACGCCGCTCATTTTGATGAGTATCAAATCAGAATGAACTGACTATGGTAACAGTTTGGTTCCCACCAATCGTCGTTACAAGCGCTCAAGCATCCTCAAGAACGTAAGTAAGTAACTAAAACTACTAAGCAAATATTAAAAGGAAGTTTCATACTGCCGGATGCCTCATGTCGACGGGTCGGCATCTGTCAGTTCTCTCTTTCTTATTCTTCTACTCGTTCCATTTCCAAGAACTGGATCCTGGCTTTCCACTGAATGGCCACTCGAAGACGAGAAGACCGTCTTCATGACGATCGTCACAAACTCTGGGCTACAGAGAAGCCTACTGACCGCGACTACGATCAACGCCGTCATCGTGAATCTAGTAGGTCTCGTACTCATCCCCAGTACTCTTCCGCTGCACCTTCTCCCTCATATCAGTCAGCCCCATCATCAGCCAGTAAAACACGTTCTTCTTCTGCCCAGTACCCATCTACAGGTTATCATTCCGCAACACCTTACCAGACTCCTGCACCCCTCCAGCCATCTAACGCCAAGGGTTATCCTCCAACAGCATCTTCACGCCGCCCCCAACCAGAGCCCATTGACTCCAGATCTCATCGACGACATGCTCCAACCCCAAAATCATCATATGAACAAGTCTCCGGCGCTGAAGACGTCGCAAGGTCCTCCAGGCAAACTCATTCTTCCCGTCCTATCCAACCCCAGACTACCGCGAATTCAACCACACCTTCCACTAATTGGCTTTCATCTGCTCAAGATATCTACTCTAAGCGATCGAAAGATCGCGACCAGGAACGTGAAAGACATCGAGAAATGGAGAAAGAACGTGACAGAGAAAGGGCTAGTGCTGAGCTCGAAAGGCATCGTGAAAGACATAGGTCTGAACAGCATCGAGAGAAGGAAAAGGCCGACAGGAAGAAGGAACAATCCAGGCACAGACGCGAAAAAAAGATCGAGTCAGACTCTGAAGGCCTCGTGTATTCAGACAAAGCTTCCATCTCTGGCAGGGAAGCCTATCAGCCCTCCATTCGCGAGTCTATCACCGGTCACAGGCGGCATCGTACGGAAGACGGAGTCTCATCGGTATGTTCAACTGATTTTATATGGGTGCATGATGTTGATACTACACCGAAGGTTCGCCGACCTCATGCTGACTCTTCCCATAACCAACCTTCTGCTTTGCACACGCAGTCTACAGGTCCCCAGCAAGAGGTTGTAACTCAGAGTAATACAACAGGCGTAGGGAGCAATCCACCGCCCGCGCCTCGCGTGATGCCTGTCTACCTTCCTCATAAACCCTCCAAACCACATCATGAGCGACATACGTCATTGGCTATGCAAGGAGCTCAATCAGGCAGTGACACTGAACGAGCTTCTCTGAAAGTAAGACACCCAAACAACCTTGTTTAACTCCCTTAACCCTTTTTTTCCAGCACCGCATCGAGAGAAACCATTCGGGAGGTCCCGTGCAGAGAGGTGATGGGTATCAAACTAGTGCCGTAAGGGAAAGACAGGGCCAAGACACCCCCCTGGGTCCGCGTGAGGACGCCAAGTCTAAATCAGAGGTGTGTTCAGCAGCCTTGACGACTGAATGATGGAGCTGATTGTGATAATCACCGCCAAGTATACCTCGACCCAGGGTACATATTATGACTCGCGGCAGCCCCTAAAACCTACGTCAATTCACACAGTGGATATACCCCTTATCACGCCAGGCTTCAACTCGTCACCTTTACCACACGAATCACGAGGACATGTGGGTACCATACCTGTTCTTGTTGCAGGAGAGGGCCCTGCCGACCGCCAGGCTCACGATGTACTTTACAAGTCACAATCGCCTTTACATCAAGATGAACTCCATGGTGCAGGACATCCTCATGCATCATCCCTCGCTTCCGCGGTGAAGCCATCTCATGGCAGATCACAATCTTCTGAAGTCCCCCGTAGCCGGCCGGAGCAGCCCCAACTGGAACGATCTCGCACAGATCCCGTAGCAATTGATGTCTCGCATGGCCGTCATCATCGGCCAGAAGACCTTACACCACTCCGACACCCTCAGATCAGTACACCAGTGGAAAACCAGCCCTCTCAACCGCGTTCACACAAGACATCGTTCTCTAATCCTCCTGCTGTATCTGGCCCAAGACCTCAACGTTCCTCTTCGGTCGCAGACCATCAGAATGAGCCGACTAGACCGACGCCTTCATTGGGTCCGGTAGCTTCCAGCCAGCCGCATGTAACCTCATCACCTGCTCACAAGACGAACTCGAGCCCACCTAAGATTGGGTCGGGTTATGCATCCCTCCCTTCTGCATGCCCAACCCCTATGAGCTCACAGACTCCCCTTGCATCTGGAACCCAGGGCAATAACACGACAGTAATTCAACGATCACCATCCACACCTCCTGCCCCTTCAACATCGATGAACACCTCACAGACGATGATGATGGCATCACAACCTTCTCGTGTACCACGAACTTCACTTGATCGTCCAGAACCCTACGTCGTCGCTCCTCGCATGACGACCGCTCAGACTTCTAATGGGAGTACGGTCAAATCATCATGGGTCGTGCAGACTGCCCAACCGCTCAAGGATGGTTACGCGGCTAGGGAGGAGAAGCATCCAGGTCCTAACAGCTCACATCATCAAGCCGATCCGCCCGCGGTATCTCATCCACAGCTGCGGGACGTCCTTTCTCAAGACAGCCACTATACAACGCCCCGTTCAGCTCCAACTCTAAATTCATCGCTGCGGTCGTCGCCTTATGGCACGCCAAAGGACGTGTATGCTGCCGGGACACCTCGGGGCTCTCCAGAGAGCTCACTTAAGGTCAAAGAGGTACGCAGATTCAATATATCTTCGCTAGTTTAACTCACGCGTAGAACAGGCAGTCGCGCCGGAGCAGTCCAAACACTATCTCTTGCCTGCACTTCCGCAGATTGCTGTGATAGGAGCTACGCCCTTGTCTGAAAACCAGGAGTTACCTCATAAGCCCCCGCACAACTCCGGTTTCCTTGCGCCGTCTTACTCAGCCCCTTCGCGAGTGTCGAGGACTACGTCTGGGAGTCGCGACCATCCTACACCAGTGCAGGTGCAGCCGCAGATAACTCACAATCATGCTGTTGGTTCCACTGCGTCATTCCAGCAGACTTCGGGACCACAACTTGTGGTGCAGCAAGCCCCATCTTCATCGTATGGTAGTCTTCCAGCACCATCCTTCCCAGGGCCTTCAAGGGTCTTGAGGACGACGTCAGGCAGCCGTGATCATCCACAGACGCCAACGGTTCATACTCATACTATCGGTTCTGTCGCGTCGCACAAGCAGACTCCTACGGTCCCATTGCAGCCTGTGACGCCGCAGACTCCAGCGTCTCCATACGGCAGTCTTCCTGCACCATCATACCCAGTGTCTTTGCAAATCTCGAGGACAGCGTCCGGTAGCCGTGACTATCCACCGAACACGCAGCCGCAGACGATTCAAACCTATCCTATTGTTTCTACTGCATCACAACAGCAGACTCCTGAGCATCCATTCCAGCCTGTGGTGTTACCTTCGCAGGTCTCAAGGACAACGTCTAGCAGCCGTGAGCATCCCCCGCAGCAGACGGTTCATAGTGTTGGTTCTACAGCATCGCAGCAGCAGACTCCTGGGTCTATGTTTCAATCTGTGGTGTTACCTTCGCAGGTCTCGAGGACAACGTCTGGCAGTCGTGAACATCCTCCGCACGGGCAGGGCTCTATAGCTACACACCAGCAGACTCCTGGGTCTCAATCTGTAGCACCGCAGGCTCCAGCGTCACCATACGGTAATCTTCCTACACCATCGTACCCAGCGCCTTCGCAGACCTTGAGGACAACGTCCAGCACCCGTGACCACCCACCGGATGCGCAGGCACGAACGGTCCATCCTGTTGGTTCTACAGGGTCGCATCAGCAGGCTCCTGGGTTTCCATCCCAGTCTGCGATATCGCAGACTCTGTCTCCCTCATCGTATGGTCAACTTGCTTCTGCTGGACAGTTTTCTCCCCCACCTCTACCGGTTCCACCACCAAGAGTACCGGGGATCGACATCCCAGAGGACATTTTTCCTGTTAGGCTGGCACCCAGTAGTCCCGCTGGAATCAACCCTGCACCCACCAGTTCTGTCGTTCCATTGCAGCCCGCTCCAGCTCCAGTTGCCGCTCATCCCTCGGCTATGGCAGCCTATGCTTCCTCTGCTCAGCCTTCATCGCCCAATGGACATGCCAATCTCTACAAGAGCAAGCCTGGGACGGGTGAGGGAATGGGTGCTGTGCCTGCGACCGCAAGTTCCGCGTACCAGAAGGCTGCTACTCCTGCACCTGCTATCTCTCGCGAGGCTTCTCAAGCTGCACCGGCATCACCATCTGCGGGTATGGGTCCTGCTAGTGGAGTTCATCAGGGTACATCAGGTTCACAGCACCCCCTGCCGAGCCAAGGAATGCCTGCGGGCGTACATCCGCCGACCAATCCGGCTCCTCGGCTGACACGGCCAAAAGTCACCATCGAGGAAGTTCCTGAGTCTCCACAGTTCGGGAATAAGTGGACTGCGAGCCCTTCACAGACGTATCCGCAGACACAGATGCAGGTTCCGGCGCAGGATTCTGAGGCTCCCGCGCCTTCCTCGAGCGTTCCTACTGCCAAGTCTTCAGACTTGCATGCTCATGGGAAGGCACCACTGCCAATGAAGCCCAAGGATATTGTTGTTTCTAGTGTGCAGCCTACTCCGAGCGTGCAATCAACCCCCACTGTGAAGCCTAGCCCCAGTGTGCAGCCTACTTCGAGCGTGCAGCCTACCTTCACTGTGAAGCCTAGTCCCGGTGTGCAGCCTATTCCGAATGTGCAAACTACCCCCACTGTGAAGCCTGGACCTAGCAGTGTGCAGGCTACTCCGAGTGTGCAGGCCAGCCCCGCTGTGAAGGTTAGCCCCAGCGTTCAGCCTCCTCCGAGCATGCAGCCTACCTCCACTGTGAAGCCTAGCAGTGTGCAGGCTACTCCAAGCGTGCAACCTACCCCCACTGTGAAGCCTAGTCCTAGTATGCAACCTACTCTCACCGCCGTAGCGTCAACTTCATCCCAGGCTCCTCCTGCACCATCAACTCAACAGCACGCATACGCTTCTGCATCTTCTCGTGCCCCGTTCTCCGCTCCGCCAACTCAGACTACTTTTACTCCGTTGCACCAAGATCCTGTTCATCGGACGACATCATCTGGTGGACAGCCTCGAGGGTACCAACGATCGACTGATGCGCAGCCAAGTGCGAAAGCACCGCTACACATATAGGCGCATCAGCTATTGCAGCGCAAGGTGCTCGACAAGTTTCTCAACTACCGAAAGTTACTCAGAGTGTTTCTATAGATAATACATCCAAAGGGAGATCATACGCTGCGACTCCTACTACGACCGTGACCGCCCCTCACCTTCAGAATTTGCCCACTGCGGAGACCCACGCGAAATCCCATTCATCTCGACCCCTTATCAGCGCATCAGCTACCGCAGCGCAAACCACTCGACCAGTTGCTCCACCGCTGAATTCTACTCAGAGTGTTCCTGTTGATGCTACATTCAAAGGTAGCAGACAATATGCTGCGGTCGCTGCGTCTGCTGTCGCATCTCACCCTCATAATGCAGAGGCCCACGCAAAACCTTATTCCTCTCGTCCTGTTGTACCTCCCGTGACTATTCCTCAAGGTCCCAGCGTCCGTGCGGCTGCCAGCACGCCGTCTGCGAAAACCCAAGCGCAGGACCCTCCTAATACCAGTGATTCTACTCGTTATCGTGGTTTGATTTCTTCTGCTTCTCGTTATGCATCAGCTATGAACCCATTATACCCTGCATCTCATCGTCACGCTACTCCAGCGAGCGCCAGTCAGCAACTCAAACCCTCGCACTCGACACATCCTATACCCCATCATCGAACTGTATCATTACCCACTCCGCAGCCTGTTTCCACGTCTAATGTCAACCCACGTCCTCCTTCTCCTCGTAAAATTTCTCAACCTTTGGTCAACTCCAGTGCTACGTCAACACAGCCTTTTCCCAGTTCTTCGCAAGGAAACGTTTTGTCTCGCCCCTCCAAGACAGCTGAACCTTCGTGGGCTGCCCGTGTTGCAGTCTCAGGGCATCCATCTACACCTGCCCCGTCCCGAGCTCATCTGCCATCAGCTATGAATCGTACATTTTCCCACGAGTCCGAGACGCTGATGACGCCTTCCTCTATTGCACCCTCAATGCCTAAGACACCGCAAACACCGCAGACGAGCTTCACCTCTCCACATCAAGTAACTGCGCCCCTGATGAGGCAGAGGCAGGTGTCAACAGAATCTAAGGAGTCGAAGAAGAAGCCGGGTGGTTTCCTTGGAGGGTTGTTCAGGACCATGTCAGGGTCTGGCTCTTCTAAACCTCTCGAGAGTCCCGTTACTCGATCTCCAAAGCTATCTATGGAGCAGCATAAGTCTCCGCCCATTGTATCACCACCTATCCAGCACTCTAAGTCGTCTTATTCCCCTAAGGAATCAAAGGATAAGATTGTGGCTTCTGCACTTCCTGCCCACACGATGCAGACTACGACTCTTCCACCCCCATCAGCGTTGACTCAGTCAAAGGCATCAAAGGACAGAGCCAGGAGGCACCCTGAGATTACCATTTCATCTGCGCATCCTCCTCGTGACCGCAAGCACCCTTCATCCAATGTGTTCTCTCCGTTCAGTTTCCTGACTAGCAAAAGAAATCGCACCATGTCTGGAGCATCTCTTGACGTATGTGATGGAAACACTGCAGTACGTATGATTTTTCGTGTAGTCCGATGAGTCTCATGATTTACACAGACGAACACCGTGATTGGGTCTCCGGCTCACTCTACCGTCAGTCAAGTTCAGCCTCTTCCGCCCATGGTGCCCCCACCTTCGCGGGATCCTATGGTAGCAACTAGCCAGTGGAGGGATAGAGAAGAAGCGGAGCAGAAGAGGCGGAGAAAAAATCGACCTCGGCCAGGAGTGACCTTTGACGTTGAGGAAGACCCACCTGACCCTTATCCTGGGGCTACAGGCAAGCAGAAAGGCGCGCGACTGGTTCGACGCAAAACTGGCCGTTCTGTGACTCCCGGACCTCGCTGATGCATGATATATGACTGTCAATTTATGTTTGAAGTATCTTAGTATTGTCTTTGTATTATGTTATATAGTTTATGGTCCTATAACAGCTATTTGGAAGTATGCCTGAGAGAAGTAGCTAGACCTGGATTATAGTCTAATGTTGCACATATTCAGCCCTATCTGAGCACCTTCACTGGGGATCACGAGTCTTTTGTGACGTTTATGTAGATTGTAGTGTGACAAATATTTACGCGTTTGTGACACCTCGCGTTCCCTACTTATTGCCAGTGTCTATTGGACTACCCACTGATCGTTTTCACGCAATGTACAACAATTCTGAAAGGAGGAAATTTGACCCAGCGAAATTTGACTCGTCGAAATCAGCAAATTCATTTGAGTGGCCTTTCCGTCTCAACTTGTATGTATCTTTATTGCCTACTTTCAGGAGGTGACCTCAATCCATTTTAAGTTACGACAAGTCCCCATGGTATGAAGTCTCTTTAGAGGATTTTGAGAGATACGCCTTGGATCGCCTTCGCGTTCTTGCAGAAATCGAGTCCTCTTTTGCGCGTAACAGATCTTGGGAGGAGTTGAAGAGTGTGACCACGCGGCAGTGCAGGGATCACCTTCCTCTCAACAGCAGCAGTGCCTTGACTGTGGATACGCAGACTGAAAGGAGGAATGACCACCTAGGTCACTTCGTACTCAGACTTGCTTTCTGTCGATCGTGCGTTACATTCTCATCGTCGATCTCTCATCCGGTTACTGATTTTTAGAGAGGACTTGAGGAGGAGGTTCGTGAAAGCAGAAACTGCTCTCTTTCGAGTGAGATATGAGAATGATGATACAAAGGAGCGAGAGCTCTTTCTACAATCCCGGGACTTTAAATGGACTGAGGTAAGTGCATGATAGCACTCATTCCTCGCGCTAACGGTACTGCTAGGTCAACTCAGAGGAGAAGCTACAGTATGCCGGTGAATTGAAGGGTTTGGGGATACAGCAGCCGGAGGAAGGAGTTCCTACGACGGAGAGGCTTTACAAGGCGCGTCAAACAGTCTACTCTCCCTGCTCTGTGTTCATTCTCTACAGGTGAGATGGACTCAAGTGCCGGATCTTGTCAATAAGCGACGTGTCCTTCTCAAAGACGGCTGGGCGTACGTTCCTAGCAAGGAACAGCTCAGCATTGTTCTGCGAGCATTTGAAGCAAACCTTGAAAATGCGCTCGATGTCAGTTAGCATTTTAACATCCCTAAGAACTTTTCTGATTTTCTGATAGTCAACCGCTCGGTCAATAATGCGCATGGATGGTGATACACGCCTAACCGAAATACTCAATCACATGTCTCGAGGATTTGTCGCAGGGGTAGCTTCAGAGTACTCTGGTCCAACCACAGGCGATGAGATCAGAGCAGATATGGTGGATGACCTCGCCAAACGACACTTCCCCTTGTGCATGCGGAACCTACACGCATGCCTCATGCGGGACCGCCACTTGAAACATTTTGGTCGGCTGCAATACGGCCTGTTTCTCAAAGTGGGACATTTATTGCTCACTGACTGGAAGCTTCGTTGACCGTTACTCATCAGGTTCTTGGCTTGTCGATAGACGAAGCAATTGCATTTTGGAGGAAGTCTTTCAGCAATCTCACGGACGACAAGTTCAACAAAGAATACAAGTACAACATTAGACATTCATTTGGACTGGAAGGGAAGCGTGCCAACTATCCAGCAAAGAGGTATGGACATGTAACATCCCAGTTTAGGTGTTCTGATGGTCAATTCCATACAGTTGTCAGCAGATTCTCTTAACAGACAAACCTGGACCTTCTGATTGCCATGGATGTCCATATCGCCACTTTTCCCCAGACAACTTGCAAACGAGTTTATTAGCAACTTATTCATCACAAGGACTGACATCGACGGATCTAGCGGAGGTCATGCGTACTGTGAAAGAAGGACACTATCATGTCGCCTGTACCCGAGTTTTTGAGATCACTCATGCAGCAGCAGGAGTCAAGAAAGGTGATGGGATCGGAGAAGGAGAAAGTGTGACACATCCTAATCAGTATGCTGCAAAGAGCATAGAAATTGAGAAAGCGCAACAAAAGGACGCAATGGTTGTAGAGTAGATTAACGTTTACCGACTTGGGACGATAATCATTAATATTGTTGTATTCATGGGTTTATGCGGTGTTTGGTGTCCTTGAGCTATAATAGAAGGACCCCGCAGCTAGTATGATCGTCCAGGGCTCTCTTGCTGGTCATCTGCCCATCCACACCTTAAAGCCAGCATGGCCCGAAGCAAAGTCAGTCCAGTGAATGGCAACAACAAACACGACAGTTCTCTCCAACAATACAATGATACTGATGGCCATTTCTCCCTAGTCAGGTACAGATCCTCATGTTTTCCGTAACTTCTCGACTTGCTAAGAAGTTTACTTTCAGAAACTTCCGTCTAGCTGATCTTGTTACCATTATGAACGGTGTCTGCGGCTCTTTCTCGATATTTTCATCTGCACAGTACCTATTAACGAACGATGATGATTACTTGTTGTGGGCACTTGGTCTCCCACTGGCCGGATTGATGTTTGACTTCATGGACGGTAAAGTCGCGAGGTGGAGAAAATCATCCAGTATGCTGGGCCAAGAACTTGACAGTCTTGCAGATCTGGTATGCATTCTCTCGATACGCGTTGCTCGTTCGCCTAATTTTATTGTACGGTAGGTATCATTTGGTGTTGCACCTGCTGTGGTTGCTTTTGCTGTGGGCCTTCGGACGTACCTTGACACTGTATGTTTGACTGGTTTCATATGTTGTGGTCTCGCTCGTCTCGCCCGCTTCAACGCGACTGTTGCGTTGATCCCTAAGGACGCAGCAGGCAAGTCCAGGTACTTCGAGGGCCTTCCAATCCCTTCGTCTCTGGGACTTGTCGCGATTCTGTCATACTGGGTTCGACGAGGTTGGGTTGAGGGCAAACAGGGGATACCAGGAGGTCTCATTACGTTGTGGGGAACACCAGGTGGCCGTGGGGATATTCACCCTGTCAGTGTTGTTTTCGGTTTATGGGCAGCCGCAATGGTCAGTAAAACCCTTCGAGTTCCAAAGTTGTAATGTAGGGTAGTAGTTTTTTACTACTCCTGCTGGAGCACATTATGATAGGGCACGGATACTACGCCTATATACATGTAGCGATGATTACTTACTTAAGGACTCTGATAGTACGCGACTTGCAATTGACTTGCAAACGATGTTTTCATGCCGTATATATGACGAGATGAGTCTCCAGAAGCCACCGACGCGACGCGAGTTAATTGACGCGTCTTATACTTTGACCACGATGGTGTCTGCAAACGACGTTCAGCGTCTCTTTCTCCAAGGTGTATTTTCACGCAGCATACTTTCCTTCAAACACGCTCAGGTTCTCTGGGAGAAATGTATCGATACTGTCAAAGGTACGTACAGAGCTCTCACCTCCTGTCGTAGCTATCTGACCTTCTTCAGCTGCAAACCCGACATTGGACATTCGTTTTTCTGACAGAAGAGAGGACTGGGATCTCTTTGTTATCAGTATCAATAATTCTCTCAATTGTCTGGACCTTGAATTTCGGCATCTAACAGATGAACAGACTGGCCGAGAGATGTATGCTATGGTTAGTCATTTTGCACACTAGTGATCCTGAGTGTCCTCACAATATGACAGGTGAACAGTAAGGATGATGAAATCGCACAGATGGCTACAGATTACATGCCAGTTGAAATCGCTTACTTCAAGGCAGTCGTGAGTTATATGAAATTCCTTGTGTCATGTTACCTATCGTGTCCCTTCCCAGGTAGAGCAAATCATGCTCGCCCCGCATGAGGCGTACTCTGTATCCTCATTGCTCGCCCTACGCGAAGTTAACTCTCTCAAAACAACCATGACGAAAGCGCAAGCCGAAATCGTGCTCGGTAGTTTTGTCGCTAAGGGGTGGTTGCTAAAGAGCAGGCAAGATACCAACAAATATCTAGCATGCGAACAGACTAACCGCTCCATAGACGAGGCCGCTATTCCCTCTCAACGCGCACATTGCTGGAACTTCTTCCATACCTCAAAAGCTCATATCCCGAGGATTGTCTCGAATGCATCATATGCTACGAGGTGGGCCTTTAAACCACCTGATTTCTCCTCAGCTTCTGACTCAAGTACATCAGATCGTTACCCGTGGCGTGGCCTGCAGCACGCCGAATTGCAAGGCACGTTTGCACTACCACTGTTGTAAGAAGTATCGCAGTCGGAATGCCAAGTGCCCAGCTTGTTCGCAAGATTGGCTACAGGACCTCAAAAACATGACCCCTGTCGGTGAGGAAGCAATCAAGGATGGTCAAGACGAAGGACGCCGTGTGCGGAGGAAAAGTCCTGAGGATGGAAGTGATGAGGAAGACGAAGAAGAGATGGAAGTAGAACCTTCGCAACCGTCACAGACGCAAACTCAGTCACAGCGAAAAGGTAAGGGCAAGAGCAAGGGCAGAGGAAAACCACCTGTAGATATGGATGTGGACGAGGATGAAGACGAAGAAGACGAAGAAGCCCCACAGCAGACACAAAGAAACGGGCGCCGTCGCACGACGCGCATTCGGTGATTTCACAAGTATTGTTTATTACACTCTATACTAGCCTAGATCTGTACTATTGCTCTATTGATGATTGGCTTGGATGTGGTGTGCAGTTGGCCGTCACCCGCCCTTCCTCTTGTGTCGGTGTGGTCTTGTTGATGAAACCGAACCTGCCCTTCCCCCAAACTTGGTATCGCTTCTTGTCTTTTCGACCCTCGCCGAACTCCTCGTTCCATTTCCGAAGGTCTGCTAAGCTACCGAGAGACTCGGATGAGGAAGGCGTGATTTCCTTGAGTGCTTTGGTGAAATGGCGAGCATGGATGACGCGAACATGGGGTGGAGGTTCGACCACCGGTTCTTCGAGTAATGGATCCTGGGCATCTGCTTGAATGTCTGTCCGAGTCACTATTTCAAACGTCTGCGGAGCAGAAGCTGTGTCCAGCGAAGCCACCTTAGGAGGGGTGATGAGCTCGCTAGCTGGTGAGGTTTTGAGGACATCAGGCTTCCACGGAACCTTAACATTCTCCTTGACGGCATCCAGGGCAGCAGAGACACAAAGATCTTAGAGAAGGGCATCAGATCGAGATACAAAACCCGTCACAACTGATCTCACGTTTAAGGTCTGATCCAGAGAAACTTTCCGTCTTCGTTGCCAGCGCCTTAAGATCAATTTCAGGCGCCAACGTCTCGTCCCGAAGTAAAATCTTGAGTATCTCTAAATAAAGATCAATCGTATCAGATGAAACAGATCACATCAGATCGAAAGATCAAAACTTACCTTCGCGCTCCTTCTCCCCAGGCAGATCGACCAACAATCGCCTTGGTACCCTCCTCAACACCGCATCATCTAAATCAAACGGCCTGTTCGTCGCACCAATCACGATCACCCTATCCTCTCTCGAGGACTTCAGTCCATCCATCTCCTGCATGAACTCAGTGATGACCCCACGATGTGCGAATGCTCCACCGCTCTCGCGCCCAGACATACGCGCACCAAAGAGTGCGTCCATTTCGTCGAGGAAGACAACGCAGGGCGAGAGACGGCGTGCGAGCGAGAAAACGGCTTTGACGAGCTTTTCGCCTTCGCCGACGTACTGAAGCAAGGAGTTAGTGAGTTGTGAGAGATAGAACGAGGAGAACGTACCATGTCCATGACATCTGAGGGCGATATAATCAGCATCCGACAACCAGCTTCTTTTGCAAGTGCACGAACGACCAGCGTTTTGCCTGTCCCTGGGGGCCCAAAAAGAAGACATCCGGTCATACCATGTTCCTTCAGAATACCTTGCTGGAACGCCGCTGGGTGAAGGAGAGGCAGGGAGACGATCGTGCGGACAGCGTCGACGGTATGTTCTGGAAGGTGAACTTGGCTGAAAGTTGTTGATAATGAAGCTGGATCATCATGGTGAATAAACAGCATAGATGTGAATACTGAAGCCGCTTACCAGGGTCCACGATGCAAGATAAGAGCCTCTGTTCATGCTGTTCTAGGTATGGGTCCTGCCTGACACGCTCCACAACCTCATCCACTTTCTCCCCCTCTGTTTCCTCGTCCTCCGCGTCCTCGTGCTCTTCTTCCGCGTCCTTCTGTTTCGATATCTTAATCGCAGAATCACGCATGAACGACTTGCGCTGACTATGCGCTGAGCGCTGAGCCGCCCAGGCATGGTGCACAGTAGCCCACGGCACAGGCGTCGGCTCGAGCCCCAGCTTTTTTTGCTGAGGAAGTCCAGAAGACACAACGCTCCCTACCGCCCGATCTGCGATCTGCCGCACGCTCGTCCAGGGCTCAAACTGATTGCTCCAGTCCTCCCACATGTCATCCTTGCCTCCTTCCTGGCGTTCGCCCTCACACTTTACCTCTACTGCCTCCGCACGTTCGAGGACACCTCCGACTGCGCCAACACCCATGCGCATCGCGAGTTCATTGATTTCCCGTCGACGGCTCATGCGGCATAGGCGTTCCTCCGGTTGCAGACGAGTGCCAGGCACGAGCACCGACGCGCGGAAGAAAGGCGTCGTCACCTCGCTCTCCGGTGCGCTACTCCCATTCGCCATGCCGCGCTGTGCGATCATAGACTCAAGCATCGGTGGCATGGACGATCCTCCAATGACGACAACACCTCGAGGCCCATGCTCCCCCTCGGGCTCTTCAGGCCGGGTGGAGAGCGTAGGGAGGTCCTGGAGCAGAGCGATGTCCCCATCTTTCTCCCAACGTCGTAACCGGTCCTTCAGGCGTTTCTCGCGAGCACGCTCGGCAGCGTCGTCTTCGCCCCAATCAGCGATACCTGATCGGGGAGGCGTAGAAGCTGCAGCGTGTGGCGACCTCCGGCGTCCTGCTACGTTCATGAGACCAAACTGGCTTGAACTAGCGGAGGACGCAGACATGGATGCGGACGTGTGTGTGGGCGCGATGGGTGGGGTGATGCCAAAGATTATGGTCATTGGGTTACACACCGGGGACGACGGGCGGGAAAGAGGGCCGATACGGCGCTGGCGGACGGCTGAAAGTAGGTGGGGGTACCAAGTCGCAGAAGCGGACGCGAGGACAGGAAAGTCGCGAACATAGACGATACGTGGGCGACGGCTGGTGTTTGTACCAGTCGTGCTAGTATCGTTTGGAGAAGGCAGATTAATGAGTTCATCGAAGAACGTTTTAACACGATTTGGGGCGGGATTACTACGAGAGGCGGTAAGTACGGAGGTGCGTCCACGTGTTGAAGTGGGTGCGAGAAGGTGAAGGGTCATTTGAGAAGGAATAGCAATTGGAGACATCATGTCCATGTCGTCGTCTTCTTCTAGTGATACGCGAAGGGGGGAGGATTGGGAATTCGAGGCAGGTGGTGGCTGGAAATGGAGGGGATTCCGGGGGAGTTGAAGAGCATTTGCAGCTAATGAAGTGCAGCATTAGAAACACGGGTGTTCATTATAGGATAGATATGTACCTTTGCCAAAATGACCACATTCACCAGCAGCAAGCTGGACCGCATCGATAACGAGGACTTCAGCACCAGTCCTGTGAGCAAGCTCTTTTACGGTAGCATCGATTATATATTCACCACCCTCTATTGGACAATAAAGGGCAAGGGTGGGCTCTAATGGAGGACCTGAAGAAGATGAATAGGCTGCTCTATGCTGAGTCTGCGGATGAAATGTAATATGTAAATTAGTCAATGCTTCATCAAAAAGCTCAGGAGCAGGTAGATTATTATTGTTCAAGAAATCAGTTTCTGATGGACCATCGTCTGGAAGCCAGAAGATGTTCAAGTCGTGAGGAAGCTGTATGCTGTCCTCTGGTGGAGTAGACGGAGAACTCGAAGCAGTTGGAGATATCCGCGTCCGTTTTGTTGGCTTTGGATCAGGTTCCTCTGGAGGTACAGAACCAGCAGCAGACGGTTCAGGTGTATCTGAATTTGTGCTGGCTGGTAGAGTAGATGAAGCAAGACGCTTGTACACACGTTGTGTTGGCGGTGTTCCGTCTTTTCGTGAAACACGTTCCAGCCGGATAGCAGGATAGATACTCTTGCGCGTCGATGTTGCTTTGAACAGTGAGTGCGACCTATGAATGAAAGCACTAGGTGTTCGCATGCTGGTCCGATGTTAAGCTGTTCAGACAACAAACAACTTCCCTTCTTGGTCGCTTGCGGCTCTCACATAGATTTCATTCTATTACATTAGTCTTCGATTACTATAGAGTACTACTCTCCTCGTCATCGTGGTCGCCGTCGTCCACAACGACCTTACAACGTGTACTACCAACTAACTTGTGTTCGTTTCTCACGTAACGGGTCCAGGAACCTCACTGCGGCCGTACACGTTTTCACATCAACCATCTGAAACTTAATCACGAAATATGGGTCACGACAGACTGGCTGCTCTCAGAGTATTCACTTTTCTAGTATTCGTGCTAAAATATACTGACGGACACATTTCTTAGGCGCAACGGTCGAATGCTACACCAGATCCTGGACAGGGGGTCTATGAGATGCAACCGCATTCTTCACCTTCTGCAAACGGCACTGGCAATGGTACAGGGACAGACCCTTTGTCCGCGTTCTATGCCGAAGTGCGTCTATTCTTTCTCATATTTCTCTTGGTACGAACATGCATTTCAATCTAGGCCACCGCTATCCAAGAGTCCATCCAAGACTTTGATAACAATGTCACTCATATCGCTGAATTCCACTCCCGCTCCCTAAACGCCCTTGACGACGCAGCAACACAAGCAAACGCAACTCAGCTCGAACGCCTTACAGATGAGACCAGGCAGCTCAGCAACAGTCTCGCCAACCGTATCCGTGCCCTCGAGAAACCCGCTGGTGCAGGCCCGGATGCTCAAATTCGCAAAAACAGAGTGTGTCACCCTTCCCTTTTGTGCTAGACAGCTGTTGACGTAGTTGTGGTTGTCAGATTGATGTCGTTCAGACAAAATTTATGGCCACCTTGCAGCGGTACCAGGAAGTTGAGCGCCAGTATCGCCAGCAGTACCGCCAGCGTGTGGAGCGACAGTTCAAAATAGGTATATTAATTTCCTAATTTCTCACTCACATTTTAATACAAATATACAGTGAAGCCTGATGCTACGCCTGACGAAGTTGCTGCTGTGGTGAATGATGACCAAGGCGGAGGAAGCCAAATATTTGCACAAGCAGTAAGCCTTTGTTCGCTTAGGAGAGGAGTTTGTCGTTCATCTCTGCGCAGATCAGTTCATCAACTCGATACGGGGACTCGCGGGCTGCATATCGAGAAGTCCAGGAACGACACCAAGACATTCGCCGGATTGAGCAGACCCTCGGAGAGCTGGCTCAATTATTCAATGACGTAGGTGCAACACTTGCATGTATGATGCATTTACTAAGGATACTCTTATTACAGATGGGCACCCTTCTAGGCGAGCAAGAAGAGAAAATTGACGCTATCGAGACGGCAGCTGCAGGTGTCGCACATGACACCGAGGGAGGGTATGCAGCTGTTATGATTACCTATGCGCACTACCACTAACTTTCTTGTAGACAAAGGCACACCGAGGTCGCAGTAAAACACGCCCGCTCTGCCCGACGAAAACGCTGGATCTGCTTCTGGCTCACCATCATTATCATCCTCGCAGCTGTTGGTATCGGTGTGGGTGTGTACTTCAGCCAGCATCCAGTAAAGTCGAGTTCTTCTGGTTGAAGGAGCGGGATCATGGTGATTAATTAATACGGACATGACTGAGTCGTATACCCCTTACTTTCTTTTGCAATAGTCCACGCTGCCTCCATACTTGCTCTAGTGATATTAGTTAACTAGGTTGTTTAATACTTGGTACTTTGGTTTTACCGGTGCGGCAGAATGACGATGGTAATATTACGTCACGTCCATTTGGCGTTAGTTCAGGACCGTGTAAATTTGGCAGAACCTGCGTTTCACGAACGTCCTCCTTCATTGACTCCTTCAACATTCCCCACCGCAGCGTACGCCTGCAATGACGAAAAACGGTTCAGCAAATCCATCCCGAAAGATGCGCCGGCGTGGCTCAATCGACGTCGTCGATGCCAAGGTTGCAGTTGACCTCGCCACAGCTCAGACATATTCTGAAAATGTCTTTCTTTTCGTACCTAATCTCATTGGTGCGATAGTTCTGTTGTGTTGATTTACTATGTGCTGATTTAGATACTTGGGCTACATAGGGTACACGCGCGTCATCCTTGCTGGGCTTTCGCTCCACTTTATGAGCTATCACCCCAAATACTGCACTCTTGCGTATGTGATATCATGTTTATTGGACGCTGTGGATGGTCAGGTCGCACGAGCCCTAGGACAGACATCTAAATTTGGTGCAGTGTTGGACATGGTCACAGATCGGTGTGCCATCTCTTCCTGTTATTCCTCCAATTTATCTCATAATGCGCACTTCCAGGTGTACGACGTCATGCTTGCTCTGCTATCTATCGTCTACATACCCGAATTTCGCCTTGGTGTTCCAGTTCCTTATCGCACTTGATTTCGCCAGCCATTACATGCACATGTACAGGTGCGTTTTGAGTCCCCGTCCTTGCCTGTCCAATCCCTCACCAATATGAACCAGCTCACTCGTAACTGGTTCGCGGAGCCATAAGCTCGTGACGAGCGAAGTTAGTCGTATCCTATGGTACTACTATAATGATTCAGTGCGTTTTCCACCGTTCGCACGCTACCGCAGCCCAAATTGATCCTGTGCGTGAAACAGCGTACTCTGTTCTTTATGTGCGCAGGCAACGAGCTCTTCTTCGTCTCTCTCTACCTCATGAAATGGGTGCAAACACCTATCGGACTCGGCGTCTACTTCCCATGGCTCACGGATCTCACCTGGCCCGAACTCGTCGCAATCCCCAGCGCATTCGTCTGTGTAGGCAAGAATATTATCAATCTTGTACAGCTCTGGAAGGCGTCGAAGATCCTCGTAGGGGTGGACCTTGCAGAGCGTGCACATGCACGTGAGGTACAGGCTAAGAAAGAGTGAAATGGGTTCGTGGACGGACAAATATCATACATACTACATATGCTGCTTTGTGCATTAATGCCAATGGGACGGTGTAATCGCACTCCTTGTTTTTTACATATGTAAATATTTACAGCGCAAACGCAAACTAAGGAACGGTGTGGATGTGGGGGTGCTTATCATTTCAAGCGGCAGACTCTAGATGGTCAGAGTGAATGGCCTGCGTGGGCGGGAGTTCCTTCCTGAATGGTAAATAGTGGGTTGGGCTGAATGGTCTACAGAGTATACGATGACATGCTACAGAGCGATTATTATGCACCAAGCTTAAGCCCAAACTAAGTAATATGTTATCTTGATGCTACTCGTTACTTTTAGCAATTTGACATGTGTTGGTAACCACCCTGGCCGAAGTGAACTGACTTCCATGAGTTTATTGTTTGCAGAATATGGGATATATATTTACTGGCTACAAGAGACCTACTATGACGGGCCACAGGAGATGAGTAAGGCCTAATCATGAAAACTGGATTGATACAATTAGATACGCCACACATACGTGGGTCATGGCAAGATTGTCAGAGCTGCCAGAATATCTCTACCAGCACCTGTTGAGAGCCGATGAACCCGAGGACAGAAAGGCCGAGAAAGGAGGAAATGGGACTACGGCCGAAGAGTAAGGCAGCTCGAGGTGCGAGCGCTACCAAACGGAGATTCCAGACGACGTGTCAACGTCGGCTATCTTTTTCATTCGTTTAGTATATGTTTTCATCAAAAAGGCCAGCTGGCGCACTCACCATATAAAAGCAGCCATCCGCCATCGAAACATCTCAGATTCGTAATCCGAATACTGAGATGTGAGTCTTCTAATGTAACGTTTGAGTACGAGTACTAACGTATAACGTAGCTTACCTGTCTAGGTAAAAACATTCGTCAATAAAGAGATTCGTAATCCGAATACTGAGATCTTACCTGTCTAGCCTCGCGTGAACGCCCTGCTATACACACAATAGCACCATCCACAGAAATCAAAGGTGAATATGTCTTCGTTGTAACAACGTCATTGACTGGTGCAGTAACCTACTGTGGAATGAAACAGGGGGTTGTATTGCCTTCCTGGTGTATAATCTTGTGATCGAATACCGATAAATCGCGGTCTCGTACCACTTAAGATGACACTGGTACTGGCGCACTTTTTTTGATTCAGTGATTTGAGATGGTTTGAAACTCATGTTCCAAGTATGTGATAGGGAGGGTGAGACTAGAAGATGGGTAGGTAGTCAGAGCGTTAAAGCCCGCGTATATTTTCCTCGGCGGGAGACTACCTAACGATATTGTCATAAGATAATGTGCGAGAGAGGATGTGGTTAGAGTCTAACCTTGAGCTCGTCATGTACGTCCCGATGATCTTCCAAATGAAAAAGGTTAAAAACGACCTTGCCGCTGGGCCGTAAGAAGATCATTCCTGTAGATCGAGAGTACCTTCCAAGTGGAAGAACAGAATATAGGAGGCAACACAAACTGACAGTACTTGAGCTGTGGACTGCGTGTGAAGCTCAGGTAAAGGTGCACTGTATGGCATTCACGCGAATATGTCAGGGATCGAAGGGTGAAGACACACATCGGGACAGAGTGAAGTGCAGACACAGAGATAAGCACTACACAGAGAAACAGAAGACCGCCAAGCGCACACTGACAGCAAGCAGTGGAGTGCATGTGAGCCTCAGGTGGAGTACGCACATGGGAGTCACATGAATTACTTCTGCGGGATCATCAACCATTCCGTCTTCATATATGTTAGAGATAGAATAAGACTAGATATACACCCCGTCATTTTCCTGGTATGACTGGATGAAAGCAGGAAGTGGTGGGAGGGCCTCGGGAGGTCACGCTCCGGCACGGAGGTCGGAGTCAGTATAGGTTTCGAGGCTTGAAGGTAGCACCAGGTCTCATGGGGTTGTAGTTGGCCTAGTATGTGATGCGAGAGGGCACATGTTGGAGGCTAGGTGTGGTAGGCGACGGTTGGAAGACTACGGGTCGGGCATGATGGGCAATGTGCTTAACCTTATACACGAGCAGAAAGTTTTGACCTCTGATTAGTAAGTGAAGTAACACAAGAGGTGCCGTGATCTCGAAAGTTTTTGGGAGCCAAAGTACTTCGGGAGGATAACAGGGCACCTACGCAACTGTGTTCGATGAGCAGTCGGCTGCAAACGGCTGGTGCCAGTGGGGAGATAGGAAGCTTCAGATCCCGGATCCGGTGGCCTCACCAAGGGGTATCGACCGGACCAACCGGGAATTTAGCATCTCTGATGCTGAATCGAGGGTTGCAACTTTGGGCTGTGGTTTACTAATAGTCACGTTGCAAATGGTGATGCGGTATCGACGGGGACGATTTTGAGGGTGGTGCCAAAAATATTGTCAATCAGCCTGTCAGCCTAGCATACTATAGCTGAGCTGACTTGCAGCGACTGATGTTACTCGAGAGTCCATTTGCAGCGGCGAGTCTGAATCACTAGTAGTTAAGTGACTCATCCTACTGAATATGATCACGTGATGTAAAGTAGATTCTAAACATCATGCACACCAACTTGACATTTAAATTTAGGTCAAGCAAGGTTTGGTAGTGATCATGTCATCGTTCTGACAAATGTAATAGTTCTCGCCACGTGGTTTCCCCCTTTTTCACAAAGCATCTAATCTGCCGCAGACTGTGCGTATCTCGGCCAGCTAATATTTCAAGCCGTGTACTTCCTAGGCAGTTATAAAGACCACTTCCACTTCTTGCGATCCAGAATATACCTTTCATTCACAATGTCTATTCGAGCCACTACCTCTCTTGGCGGTACTGCATCTAATGTCACCATTGGTAAAGTAGCTGTATGTACTATGTTGCTCTTCATCCCAAAGTTTTTCCTGACATTTCCCCTCTCAGCATGGATTGATGATGATGACGTGCGTTTTCTTTTCTTCTGACACCATTAGATCAAGTTCACATCGATGATCCATCATGTAGATGGACACCCGAGCCAGTCCCAGACGAACAGTGTTTTGAGGCTATCAAGGCTGGCGTGGACGCCCTTCCTCCTGGCACAAAGATGTTCCTTAACGGAGGTAGGCGAAAGTTCCCCACATAAGACATATGTGCTAAATTCGGTCACAGGGGAATTCTATGGGCACAATTTATCAACCGCAAACCTCGAGATGATCGCCCGGTTCTTTGAAAAGTACCCCGACTACGTAGACAAGACCTTCTTGTCCATCAAGGTACGGTCTATCCTCGCTTCCCCCTCATTGTAATTAACTCTTTGTTTCTCAGGGAGGAATAAAGCCTGGCGGACAGGCACTGCCCGACGGCTCGTAAGTTTCAGTTGTGCATCATGATCGTTATACTGAGATGCGACCTTGACCATCAGACCCGCCAACTTGAGACGAAGTGTCGAGCTCGTCAATGAGAAACTTCGCGGCACCAAGCGCCTTGATTTGTTCCAGAGCGCTCGTGTAGACCCCAATGTCTCTTTGGAAGAGTCGATCAGGACCCTGGTCGAACTCAAGAATGAGGGTAAACTAGACCATATTGGCATGTCGGAATGCAGCGCTGACACTCTGCGGCGTGGTAATGCTGTATGTGAATAGTATGACTGTCTCGGCAAGACATCTTCTCATTAAGTTCCAGGTACACCCCATTGCTGCTGTCGAGATTGAGGTCAGCCCATGGGAATACGGAGAGGAGGCCAAGAAAGGTACGTCATTAGACATAAAGTTCTGTTGGAGTAACTCATCTTCAATTTTGTCAGTCATTGCGACTGCCGAAGAGCTAGGTATTGCTGTTATCGCATACTCGTGCGTGTCACGTTAGTACACGCTTGTTCTGACCTGACAATAATCATGTTTAGTCCGCTTGGTCGTGGGTTTTTGACCGGTCAAATCAAGAGGCCTGAGGATATTCCGGGTAAGATCA